GGTTCATAACGAAAATCAGAAGCTTATGTGGCTCCGTCCCGTATGGCTATAGCCCCCAGCGCACGCAGTAGCGTGCGTAGCCGCCTGGTGAAAGAAAAAGCGGTTCCCTTAAATCTACACTCCGACCTTCGACTACAATCCTCCTCAGCTGAAAAGATTTCACTTCTCAGGCACTTCCTTTCCAACAGCTAAGTTTCCCTCGCACTATTGACTCTTTGACTTACGGTCACTCATCCACCTACAGACTCTTACGTATTCTTACAAAAGGACTCATTTATTAGAGGCCTCGCACGCTTCCCAGTTACTTACCAGTCCCTGGGAAGCAAGCATTTCGCTGAACCGATGTTCAGGATAACAACCGTACCCGCAGACCCTCCCCAAACACACGCATGTATGCACTTTCGAGAAGACAAAAGATATAATCGACTCGAAACAGCAGAAAAACGGATTCTCTCCCTAGACTTCACCTGCCTTCGTACCGCCGACTACCGCTAAGTACCGGTTTATTCCCGTATTTGCTTCCTAGTCTCCTAACATCCTCCTCCTTAGCCTCCTCATCAACAAGATAGTGCGGCAGAACCCTCAGTGAAAGGACACGCAAGGACCGGGATCGCATGTCTTCTATAGAAGCAGAGGTGACATTTATGTGAAGTTCCGTTTGGTGTATGGCATTCAGGTGTACGATGTGATCACTACATACCTTGAATGGATTTTGCAGTTGTATGGAACCTCGCTTTTGGAATCGAGAAACGAATCTCAACAAGCTCCAATATTGAGCACATTGGAGCACTGACGCGCTCTGTTTCGACGCCGCAGCGCAGCCGCTTGAGCAAAATTGAAACATCACTTCTATTATCAAAGTGGTCAGCTGTTTTGATTAGTCTGCATACATTTCCTATCGAAATCTGGTACTTACTTCTCCGCCACAAGTTTTTCATTCAAATTTCGCTTGCTGCTAATTTTTACTTTCGAATTTGTGGCACAACAACAGTACAAACTAAAAAGAACGGAATTCGGTGGAAATGTTATGGGTGTGAGAGGAGCACCACATGTCTCTAACTGTTATCGGTTGTAGTGATGCTCTTTGAGCAGTAATAGTGTGCTAGCACACTACCGTTTAAGTTTCGAAAGAAGTGGATCAGTTTTCAGCTGATTGTTCACCTCTTCCACCATCTCAGCATTTTGCACTCACTCACTCGGTGCCCCTCTTTTGAGTCTTAGTTGAAAGTTCTATATTTCTCCCTTCTGAAAGGCGTTTATAAGCATCTTTACAGGCTTCAGAGCCAGTTACCCTAGCTCTTTTGCGCTACACCTCCCATAAAGTGTTGAAAATAGCGTTTGCTCAACTCCCAATTACATTTTCTGCCCTTTATGGGTGGGCACTCCGTACGCCTCAATGGCAGAGTGGTTGCAAATGGAAAGCGTTAAGCGTGGAACAGATTGCGCCATGGTTTTTTTTACAATACGACGCTTGTCGAAAATGGAAGGCTCTCGAACAAAGGGTCCATTAGACCAAGCTGTTTTGCCTTCATCTACCCCTTTGCAATCCAACTTAAAAAGGTTTTGCCATCGAAACATATGTGATTTGTTTTCCTTTATTCTCGTTGTCGTTAAGGCGTTTGTAGGGATAGTGACCTTGTTTCGAGTATAGCAACTTCATTTTTGCATTCTTCTTGCGGTTTTCTAGATGTCGGAGAAAATGGAGGAGCAGCAGGCGTCAGCGCCAACCGCTTCGGGATCGAAATCTGAGGAGTCAGTGGCGCTGCGCAATTGGCAACTCGCTAATGGTGTAACGGTCATGGATTCAGCATACGAGTACGATGAAGTGGAGCAAAATGAAATGCGCTCTGCCAAACCTTGGCAGAAAGATCCGCACTATTTTAAAGAGGTAAGCTCTTTCTACTCATTACTTTGCAACTACTTTATTCGGACTGGCCTCTCAGTTTTTCTTCAAGTACGCTTTGTCAAATGTTACAAAACCGGATGAAAGAGTTCTTACAAATTTCGTGAAAGCAATTCCGCGGTTGTGAGATTTGTGAGCACGGGCCTTTCAAAAAAAAAAAAGCTGTAATGATTGGTAAAAGTTGATTTTCGATGCTTACTTTGATTGTGAATGGCAACTTTTACCAAATGCCTTAATATTTTGATTGACATTTCGAACGCTTATTATATGCCTTTGTTGGGAGTTGATCACACGAACGTTTGGATTGAACATCGCTTTTTGAATCTCAGCTTGTGGTTGCTGCATCCATTTGTGAAATCCCTGTAAGACTGTACGTAATATCTAGATCAATTGAAGATAAGATGAACACTATGGGCAGAATTAGTGTAACTTTCCTCGTGAGTTATAGCTTTCTTCCTCGCTGTCATTATTCATTTCACTGGTGTTGAAGTTAAATCTTATTTCAGGTCCGTATTTCCGCAGTCGCGCTTTTGAAAATGGTTATTCATTCTAAAAGAGGTGGCAACCTCGAAGTAAGTAAGTTCATAGTTTTCTCGAAACTCTAAGTTCTAGATGATCATGGGTCGTTTAAGGTGATGGGTCTAATGCAAGGTCGAGTTGATGGAAATGCATTCATTATTATGGATACATTTGCTCTCCCGGTGGAAGGGACAGAAACGAGGTCTGTTGCACATTTACTAAGTGCTCAACTCACTTGGCTATTGTTTCTACTGAGCAAGTGAAATAATCTTCCATAGGTTGCAGGGTAAATGCACAAGCACAGGCGTATGAATATATGTCAGTTTATACAGACCTTTGCGAAGCTGAAGGGAAGAAGGAAAAGGTCTGTATTTTCCGCTTCGTAGTACTATGAAACCATACAACAATTGTTTTCTGAACAAGGCTGGTAAAAAGAAGGCTTGGTGCTACTTCGTTAGCTTGTCATGTCCCTCTCATTGTGCAGCTCTCTTAGGTTGTTGGCTGGTATCATTCACATCCTGGTTATGGATGTTGGTTGTCGGGAATTGACGTGGCTACTCAAGGTCTCAATCAGCAATTCCAAGAGCCATGGATCGCCATAGTCGTTGATCCTCTGCGGACCATGAGTGCTGGAAAGGTGATCTTAGAAGTATACTTCATTTTGAGAGATATTGTAGCTCAATTATGTACAGGTCGACATAGGCGCTTTTCGAACCTACCCTCAAGGATATCAACCACCCGTAGAGGAAGGTCCATCCGAATACCAATCTATTCCGCTAAACAAAATCGAGGACTTTGGTGTTCATTGCAAACAATATTATTCATTGGACGTTACCTTTTTCAAATCAGAATTAGGTGACTAGTTTTGGAATTTGCTGTTATAAATTAAATGTTCATTTGTATGTTTTTGCAGATTCACATATTTTATCAGCTTTATGGAATACTTATTGGCTGAACACTTTGAGTAGCTCTCCCCTCTTGACGAATGCTGGATATATTAATAACCAAATTGGCGATCTAAGCATGAAATTGAGACAGGTAGACCATTTTTTGTACCTTGTTCTGTAGGTGTGCATGGCTTTGTAGATGGTTGTTCATTTCTTATCGGGTAGTAAATTGGTATTTCTATAGGTGGAGAAGAAATGGGCGCGTTGCGAACGTGCCAATGACGTAATTGAACAGCTGGATAAGGTCAGTTCTTTATTACTCCTTTTCTTAAATTATTTTATGTGTTTTCTCATAAACTGTGTAGTGATTACACATGCGGCGCGTTTTCAGTGCTTGTTGAAGGAATTTTTTGTTTGCAATCCATTTGTTAAAAAGTTCATGAGGAGCGCCACCTGAAACTCGAGGGAAACGAGAGGTCGAGGATTTNTACAAAGGACTAAAAAAGCTAGCTATCAGGTTGTAATAAGTACTGAGAATTAAAAGTGAACTGAGGTGGCTATCCGAGGAACAGTGATGTAGTACAATGATCAGCCATGAAGGTGTTTCGGTAAAAATGCTTGTTCTTACCCTTGCTGTTAAATGAACGTAGAAGGATCAGAGAATTTCCCAAATTTGCTATTTTTCGTGTGTATCTTTTTTGTTTGTTATGTTGTTGGCTGATATTGTGTCGAACGGGCTAAACATCGTCTCTATCACCGCGCTGCCTAGCTCAATAGTAATGTGCTATTTGTAATAACCAACTCGTAAGGTTAAAAAGGAGCTTATAACGCCCTTTTTACGTATGCACTGCTTCATGTTTGATAGGTAGAATAGATGGCCCTTGGGTTTTTGGGGTGGAATTCAGTGGGTCGCCGACCCTCGCTACCTTTAAGTTAACATGTACGGCATAGTCACTTTTCATTGCAATTTTCGCCTGTTAACTTAAATTCATTATTGTGCTGTTCTATTTACAGGCTGTAAAAGACGCTCATACAGTGTGTTGTGAATTGTCGTGCGGCGTGCTTATGCAACACATCAAACGGGTAATGTTCAACCGTGGCGAAAGCTTTGAAGATAACGCCGACCAACGTGTTGACGAAGAGCCAATGGTAGACTTCATCTCTGCCGAAGATGTTGCTCCACCAGCATCTATCGATGATGCAGAGTTGCCCGAAGAGGTTCTTTTAGTCGAAACGGTCAATTGACTGTTAGTAGTCCGGTTAACGATAAACACCTTTTCGTCGTTTTGGCTGGTTTTCAACATATATCTATGTATTGAGAGTTTGTGGGAGAGTTGGACTCCTCACTGTGGTTGTTCTCTTTCTCGTTCGTATGTGGTCGCTCGGTGCGAAATCCTTTTTGGAAGTTCTGTTTGAGTTATGTATTCACCACAGTCAAAAGGGAAATTAAGAATAGTCCTTAAAACACCAGTATATGATTTCTTGGATATGGGCCAGGACGCCATGGCATTCTCTGGTCAATGTCCTCTAGCGCAAACATTTCCAGTCGTGTCCTGATGCAACCTGACCTATACCTGGCGCTAGATGTTCAATTCCGAGTATATTGAGTCAGATAGGTTGTCGTTTCTGATCATAGAACAACTGAAATTCACACGTTATTTTTTGTACAAATTAAAAACTGCTCTTTTTTGTCTGCGGTTTTCTGTGTTTGAGGCGATTGAAATTACTCCATCTGGGAGAAGGGGAAGGGAAATACACATAGGTGTTCCCATTGCTAGTTGACGTACAGGTATGATGATGTGAAATTGGACGGTATTTGCATACCAATTACGAATGTTCCTACTATTGCTCCTTTTGAAGCATGATGCTGTCTTCATTGAATTGTCTGATGTGAGTGCTGTTAAGTTGCAAAGTATGTATATTTTGGTACTATAACATCCGCGTAATGCTTCTCTGTTGAATTAACAGTATTTTATCATTAGCATTATCGTCTCAGGTTCTTTTATGGTTAGATCTAATATTACTCTCCCAGACGGACCGCCCGGCCTGCTCCGGGCGTCCTCCTCTTGGGAGGTTAAGGAAGTTCTGCTAAATTGGAGCAATCATTTCTCATCCGACCACAGCTGAAACAGTGCTAATATTATGAAATTTTTGAGTGAGGAATGATCCGAATCAGCTTGTATCATAACTTGCGCACAAAACCTGGGGCTTGGCACAGACCACTGTCTCAAATTCGATAGTCGGTGGCGTTCATAGACATGGTAGTGCTCTTGATCTTAACATTCGTTTCTCCAGTTCTTCCTTGTATTGGGTCTACTGGAACTGCGACTTCAAGCACTCACCGACACACAAACAAACAAACGCACCTATACACAAACAAATACAATCAGCGAATTATTAGGTTGGCAAGAAATTCTGCAACAAAAAATTCGGAGCGATAAAAACTTTATTCAAACAATGTGAACACCATAACAAGGCCCAATGGTGGGATGCCGTTGGTTTAGTAGACACCGGCGTGAAGAATGACAAAGACGTGTACTGGCAGAGCATAGCGATGGATGTACTGCAGCTCTGATCGTCTACGTTTTTT